GCATTTATCTTCCCCGAGCTCAAGCATGTGAAAGTCTGTGGGGACGGTCACCCTCCACACCATTTATCTGAGACACATCTTAGGATAGATTAGTGGCTCTCTGGATATGCTTCCCCTCTCCCCAGACAGACAGAAGATAGACAAGGGCACGGACAGACTGGCTAACTTTTAACAAGCTAATCCTACTCTCAGAGGGGAATTCAAATTCACCATTATCACTTACCGAGTGTCCAGTGAAGCCACATGAAATGGGCTTATTATCTGTGTCTCTCCCTAGTGAAGGCCTTATCTATAAGACAAAACAACTGGCACTAATTAGCACATCCAGTAGTAATTTCAGCAAAAGGCTGAGGGTTGAAAGGATATGGGGGATGAGCTGGCCTCACCTTCACCTGCTCTTTTAGAGAAGAATGGAGTTGCATAGATGGCGAAGTTTTGCCGTGTTACTGTACGTCTGCTGTGATTATAGACTGAAGCCTAGTCCAAGAGCTTTTGCCTTGTGCAAACTTGGACATTGAAGTAAATAAACACTAAAGCCATGACCTGTACTATTGGTGCAGCCCATGACCACCACGCTCCCTTTTCCATTTCAGACACTGCTTTACAGCACCTTGCCGAGCTAAGGAAATTAGATATATCATGTAACAAAGAGATTGGCGGTGGCTTTAAAGACTCAACAGCTCATTTGGCCAGCTTGAAAAATCTTGAAGTCCTTGATCTCCACCAGTGCTGTGTAACAGAAGAGGACATGACCGTTTTGTGTAAGGACATGTTGAGGAAATCCATTAAGAATGTAGGATTTGACTTCTGAAGGTATCTCAAAGGTGTAAGACATCCTGCCTAACCTAGTCTCACAGATCTCTGTACATTTTCCTTAGGCAGTTCTGGAAGTGCAGGGTGGAGGATTGCTTTCTTGATCAATAGAAAATGGTTTTTTTGCTGTATCAAAGGAAGTTTCATAGTGTCTGATCCCACGTGGAGATAAGGACCTGAATCTGCCATGATTCAGACCCATGATGGGAATGTACAAACTATCACCAAGCACTGCTTTTTTTGATAATTAGTAATTTTGGAAATATGTGGGGACAGTTCCTTGACTGGTATAAATTGGCATGGATCCAAGATGTGTACGTACATGTAACTGCCTCAGACTCCCTTGGTGAACTTTAAGTCAACTAGAGAGTGATGTTAGGAGATCTTGTGTTGCTCATGCTATGTGCTTTCTAGAAAAGCTGAAGACTACAGTCTCCAGGTTGAATTGATCCTGCTTATAAATACTACTAGGAAGAAAAAGGCGTTTCCTATTCAATCAGTGAGACAGTTTGTATTTCTACGTGCATTATCACAACTTTCTGATACTGGTTTTTGCTCTTTAGAATAAAAATCCTCTATTGCCCACATCTTATTTTCCATGATAAAGAAGATAATTTGAAAAGCTGCTGCTGAACTATTGGGAAATATTAGCTATTAGTAATATCAATCATGATTTATTTTTAATTTCTTAACCAATGGAGAATAATCACATTAATACAAAGGAGTTTAATTTAACAGTGAAGACATTTGGAAATAACCTCCACCCCATTTAATGTTAAATTCCCTACTTCACCTAGAAAATTTCAACAAGAAGCCATGTTCTGACAACCTTCCACACAGAATGTAATACCTAATTTTTAAACATTCCTACTGAAAATGACAAGGCTATTTATGGAGTAAAACATTACTCACCATAAATTTGAGTCTCAAAATTTGGCCTTGACTTTTGGATTGATTTCTAAAGCAAAGAAATTATGTCAGGCAAATATACAACTACATATTTGTTCTGGATCGGTGACTGTCTAATAAATATTTCATGTTTTCATAGCCCAGGTGATACCTTTACTTTCCAGTCTTCAAGAGCTGAATTTATCCTCAAATAAAAATGTAGGAGTCTCATCTGATCCTCTTCTGGGCAGGCTCAGGTTTTTACCGAAGTTGAAATCTGTGGCCATCAGCAATTGTGGTTTGAGCGAAGAGTCGTTTTCATCACTAGGTAGGAATGTTGGGTTGTTTTTTTTAAATGTGTCTATTTTCTGTGTATCCTTGTGGGACGAAGGTGTTCATTCTCCTTTGGCTGAACTCCAAAGATCATGGTTACATTATACCACAGGTCCCAGGTGAAAAAGCCTGTGATGAAACCAGTGCTTCATGGGACCCGGTTGCAAGGGAAAATTATTGTATGTCTTCCCCATTATACCTGACTGGATGAAGTCCTTTTAGACCTTTGTTTGATAATGAGCTTTCATCTACTCCCTAATTTTGGAAGAGAAAGCAAAACATGATTTCTATATTATGCTGTAATTATAGTTTAGTTGTAACACTTCATTTGCAGTTTAGTGGGGTAAAGTTTTGAGTGAAGGTTTTTCACCTCACTGCAGGTGAAAGTTTCAGTAGAAACTTTCCGAGATACAATGGAGGAATTGAGGCAACGGCTGCAGTAACGGAGAAGGTATTGCATAACCATGAAGAAAAGTCCAGTCTAACACAGAATATGTAAATTCAACCTCTTTTGCCTACTTATTGCATATCTCAGTGGATTAGCAGCTACGCTGTCCCTTTGATAGGCATTCCATATGGCACATGAAATCTAAGTACAGAGGGATCTGTTAGTTATCGTGTATTGGGCACTTATATTTTGTACTGTCTACTAGTGACATTGAAACCTAGAGTAAGACCCGACTGCCTTCAGCAGAAGCAGTAGCAAGCTAAACTGGTCTGAGGTCCCTGCAGGAAGAGTACTATATTTATATCATTACGATTATGTAAGAGTGACATCATGGAAATCAGTGTTGTCAAAAGATGCAGGGCATTTCACCTTGAGTGGTGAGTTCACAGCCAAAAATTGTTGTCTTTCAATGGATATAAAATTGTTTAAAATCAAGCTGTTACATTAAATTGATTTCAATGGGACAAGGTCAGACCATTAATGTAAACAGAAAGGCAAGAAAGACATTAAAGATTCTGTAGGCAAGACCTTTTTACATTCTTTAAAGAGTGCAGGAGGTATTTTTTTTCTGACTTTTATTAGAATAAAATAAGTCATTCTAAGCACAAGTAGGCAGCCTGTCAAGAGCCTATTTACTGGTGAATTGCCAGTGAGGTGTCTATTGTGGCCACGTTGTTTTCTCTTAGTAAGCAGAAGTTGCTGGTCTTAATCTTTTCAGCTGAGGCTGCCCTTCACCTTCCTGAACTGGAGATATTAGACCTTTCTTGGAATAAGTGCGTTGGTGGGAACCTAAAGCTGCTTTTGGGAGCACTAAAGCTTGCAACGGAGATTCAAGTGTTAAGACTGAGCAGCTGTAACTTGGTGGCTGAAGATTTGGCACTTCTAAGTACGTATAACGTGGTATTTCCTAGCAGTCAAGGAGCCAGGACATTTAGACCACAATTCAGAAGGGACTTGTTCCATGGACTGAGCACGTTTTTGCATAAATCAAATGAAAAGATGGAAAATACAGCAGTATTTTTCCCAGAAAGGGTTCTCATTTTGCTGAAGACTGTGTGTCCTGTAAATGTACAGTGCAAAAGCTGAAAGGATAAAAATTAAAATAATCATTTTATCCGTTTTATCTATTAATACAAAAAGGCAGCACCTAGAAAATGTAGTTTTGCCTCTGTTTTTTGTATCAGATATTTAAAGCTGCCTCAGAGGAGTTTTGTTTTCTTCAGTTGCTGGTTTGGGGTTCGGTAATTTATGGGAAATGTACGTGCTGACAGCCAGTAATACAGGCACTACCAGCTCTCTGTCCATTAGGTGTGTTTCTGGAGTTAAACTATCATGGGAGAATTAAAGCAGAAATGTTTTAGCCCACCTCTTAGCAGCTGCTGAGAAACACTGGAAAATGGAAACCCAATGAAAGAATATATTCTAGGATCCTTTAAAAAACCTGTTTATTTTATAATCGTCCTTGTGATTCTGTGGGCCTGACTCATGGGTTTTGAGTGCCTGAGGTTGGTAGTAGCTGTGTGACAGCTATTGAGACCCTGTAATCTGAAGGCTGCTGAGATGAAACCTGAATATTTTTTATTTTACAAACATCACTTTTGATGAGTGTCTCTGCTAATTGTACATTAAGGTTCCCTTTAAGGTGTGTAATGCCCTTGACCCTACCACAGTGAGAGGTGGCTGTTGTAATCATTCAGCCTCATCTGCTTCTGTTTCCTCTTTTTAAATCTCCCTGTAAAGCCTGTCTGCCTATTTTAATTGGCGCTTGATATAACCTCCTTCCAACTGACTCAAAGGTTTTCAGGCTGCCATACAATTTTAACCTGATACTTCTGTTCCTTTTGAATTGCCCCTGTTTTAAATGTTGCACGCTCCTTCAGCTGTGAATGATCTTTCTGAATTCAAGTGATTTGATGTTGCTGAGGAGTTGAATCTTGCTGTTTGACTGCTGAAAGGCCTTAAATAATATGGTATTATTTTAAAAGCTTTAAAGCAATTGCCAGGATGTATTAGTTGTGTTTGTGTCTGTCATTTCTTGCAGCATTATTGACACAGGATGGCCATCTAGGCAGGTTACGGAAGCTGGATTTGAGTTATAATCACAACATCTCTGACGAAGGGTGGTCTGTTTTCTGCCAAGGCTTAGCAGTGTTCAAAGAACTCTCAGAGCTGGATGTCAGTCTCCGCCCATCGTCCTGCCGTGACTGTGGGGAATGGTTCAGCCAGTTGTTAGCAGCACTGACAAAGCTACCGGCCCTGGCAGAGCTGGGGATGCAAAGATGGGTCCTTTCAGAATCGCAGCAGAAACAACTGGAAAGCTTTAATCAAGACAACAAAAGAAACATTCGGTTTGACTATTGATGGAGGTTGATGGTTTCTGAAAGTCCTTTCACAAGCAGCACATGAACCAAGTATTATGTGCCTCTGACTTAGAAGTAATCTCATCTCACGACAGCTCTTGAAATGGTTCTATAATTATAGAAAACTATGTTATTTAACCTTCTGCATGTCTAGATCATTCCATTTAATAACCTATTCTTTCAGATTCTCTGGGCCATGCTTACGCTACTCTTTACACTTAATCATGGAATCATAGAATCATAGAATGGTTTGGATTGGAAGGGACCTTAAAGATCATCCAGTTCCAACCCCCCTGCCAGCAGCAGGGACACCTTCCACTAGACCAGGTTGCTCAAAGCCTCATCCAGCCTGGCCTTAAACACTTGGAGGGAGGGGACATCTACAACTTCCTTGGGCAACCTAATCTTCGTGTTGTGAATGCTGCAATGACTACTGTCAAAAGAGCAGTGATGATTTCAGATGGACACACTGCAGGTTTGCCAGTGGAGGGAAGCAGCTGGGGTGTGTGCTAGTGCAGGTGGGTGGGCAGTGTGAATGTGGCCTTGTGTATATAAGGAAAATGCCTCTACTATGAAAATATTCAAAACCTCTATATTTTAAATTTTAGTTTCTTCTCTCCCCAAAACTTTTGGCTCTTTGTGAATGCATTAAATCTACATAATTGTGAGATTTGAAAAGTATCCCAATAACTCTGGATTATGTATTAAGTCCAGTGAGGAGAATACAGATGGAGCTGTTCTGCCTCTGCTCTGGCCTTTGATGCCATCCCATAGTGTAAATGAGTCCTGTGTACAGAATCGGCATAAAATCAAGGTAAGAACAGTTAACTGTTGTATTTGCAAGTCTCAGGGTCAAGGGAAATGCTGTGGTAGGTTAAACCCGACATACGTCCTGCTTCCTTAGCAAGGATTTTGGATACAGAGCAATCCATAAGCATTCTGGATAAGGCTATGCAAAGACTTTGGGATAATTCAGGGATGTTTCTTCTCATCCTGAGCTGTTTCAGCCTTACCCAGGCTGTGTTTTCTGTACGAACTCTTTTATGGCGTGCAGCACAACACCAAACTTCCAGATCTAAGAGTCTGATCTAGAGCATATGAAAGGCAGTGAGAGTCCCTGCAGTGCCTTCGTGCTTCCTGCATTCAGGATTAATCCATTAACCTTCACAACACCTTGTGAGGTAGACAGTCTTCTTATCCTTACCCTAAAGATGAAGGAAATAAGTAAAGTCTATTATTCAAAGCCACAGGGCAGCTTTTAGTTAAGAGTAGATTACCCTACTCTGTGCCCAAGACTTGTTAGAAAAAGCACCAACTTGGGACATGTAAGTGGCTCCTCCTTTTTTCATCTGATGATTTCTTATTTGTCATTTTTTTAATTGTATTTGCTTACACAGAGCCCAATTCTGACATAGTCAGTTGTGTCATGGAGCATGTTAACCCACACGTGAGCTCAGAGACTGCAATGGGATTAGTCATTGGTAAGGTATTTTAGGAAGTAAAGATATTAGATCTGCCCACTAAGTGAGGAGTCTTAGAGAAATCCTGAGGCAGCTTGAGGGATCAAGTACTGCTCAGTTAGCCCTGAGTATATCTACGTGCTGCAGCTATCTCCTGCAGGAGAGGCACAACAGACCATTCAGTGGCACTTTCCTAACTTGCAAGGACCCTTCTCAGCAAGTTCTCCCATGGAGATGCAGATCAATAATCACCTTTCAGTCTGGGTGACCCTTCTAACATCAACTTCTGGCTGGTGTGGGTTATAACCAGCAGCTGACCATGTTGTGCTGATACCTCTTGATCATTTAATCCATGATTTTATGTGAGGGTCTCTACAGACTTCTGGTTCCAGTTTCAGTTCCACTTGAAAAGTGCACTTGGCTCCTCCAGCTCTGAGAAATGTGAGATGAACTGGAGTGTCTTGGTCAGAGGTAGCAGGGAATTGCTGCAGTTATTGTCTACAGAGATCCTCAACCTCTGAAATGAAGCAAGGAGCCCCTGTTTCATACAGGGATAACAAGAGACACTTTCAAGCAGTGACTGAAACCAGTGAAGCTAATGTGGAAGTACCATCGTCTCTGTTTAACACCAGCACACCAACCTCTTCTTTTAAACTTGTCTTCCTGTGACTGTCTTCTTCAAATCTGCCTTTGATTCAACTGGGAAATTGATCTGTTCTGTGAGAATCTCTCTGAATCACTCCTTTCCCACTTGAACCTCTCTCTAATTCAGTAAAGCAGCTGGCCCACGTTTAATGCCTGGTGCCTGTTGTAATCTTACTGGCTGAACTGGATTTCAGTGTTGGGTTTTCTTGCTGTGTCATACTTGGGTTCCTCATTCTCAGTCCATACTGTCCAGAGCGCAGTATGAACTCGCTGCTAGCAACCTCTCCGCTTGGTTTTCATGGTCCCCTTCTCAGTCCTTTGCTTTTTATTCTACTTACAAAGCTTTTATTAGAACACTTCTATTAAATGTCCTGTGTACCTGCCAGTCTTCACAGAAATATCTCCCATCCAGTGATTTCCTCCTCAGTAGTCTCTGAATCATCCTTCTCTCTGTGCCTCTGCCTTCACTTAGGGGAAAAAATTTCATGAGACCTCCAAACAATCAAACCAGCATCAGTTACCTCGGAACATGGGAAACCAAAACCAAGCCATCCCACTTTTCTGCACTCCCAGCTCCCTCCTGCCAAGAGCATATTAATGAGATTTTGATATCAATCAATTCAAGAGCCGAACACAAGTAAGATCCATACCCTGGATGCAGATATAGCTGCAGCATTCAGAGAGCATTACCTGGAGGTGGAGCTCTAGGAAGAGCTGGATCTCAGTGACCCTGTCCCACCTCCTTCAGAATGCCACCACCTTCTCTGAGGGAACTGGGACAAGGGCAGGAAGAGCAGGACTGCGGTTCCCATCAGCCAATTAAACTAAATAAAGGGTTCTGCTCCCACCCACTCGTGCATTTTGAATCTGTACAGTGGGCAGATCCAGTCTAGCTCTGTGCTTTATATATGCTGCAAATAAAACTCTGGAGGGGTTTAAGGAGTAAGTGAGCAATACTGAATAAAAACTAGACCAAGACAACAGATACCTGGGACAAACAGCTCTCTGTAACCTGCTGTGGAATGATATGGTTGCATGTAAATTTGGCATGCTAGAGTTACAGTGAGGAGTGCTTGTCATGGTTCTTTCCAATAACAAAGGTGTTGTGACATGCCAGGATGCAGAATCATTGCAGAATATGGCACTCTGCAGACTCTGCTTCCAAGTAAGCCTGTCATACACACATTTTACAAACTGTCACCCAGCTAGCTCAGAGATGAGCTATAACACTAAGGATTTGACAGCTTGCAGTCATTCAAAATACTGTAACTACAGATTGTCAAAACATCAGTGAACAGTTTTGCAGAAGTGTAGAGATACTTTCAAAACAGCTTTTTTACACCTCTAAGGCAGGATGGTAGTGCAGGTTCTGGTAGGAGTGCATATGTTCTGACTGCCAGGAATCCTCCTCCATATTTCCAAACAAGGTATTGATCATTTCTGAATATAAAACTCATTAAATAACTGCTAGTAGGTGGGGCCACAAATATTGTCTCAGTCTAGATAGAGATGTACCTCACTGACTGGAAAACGGATGTCTAAGAATTGCATGTAAAATACTTTGGGATTCAGAACAAAGAACACTTCATTGCACCCGATTCCTACAGATTAGATTAATTTCCAGATAATCAGCTGCCTCTATGCTTTGAGATAACATGTATTCAGAATAAGACAGCTCAAGAATATTTCAGAATCTGCCTGATAGAGCTGGAGTCAATGCTGACAAAAACACAAAAACAAACCTCAAAAAATGATCAGTTTTCATTGTAACACTCAATGATTCAAATGCTGTAACACTGCTTGTGTCCTGCTCGCTTATCTCTGCTCACATTTGCCCTTCTTGTAAATAAAAAGAGCTCTGTGCAGTTTACTGCCCAAATATCACTTTTTGGCTTCTGATCCTTTTACAGGCTTCTCTTTTCCCTTTTTCCTTCTTTTCCTTCTTTATTTTTTTTGGTTAGATTCGTATGTGGCAAGAAAGGTCCAGTCCCCTTCTGGGAGTTCATTAACCCAGGACACAAACTTTGGATCTGAAAAAGAAAGAACAATCTGGTTACCCGGAGGAAAAGGTAACAAACAAAAAAGAATCATGTGGAACAGTATTACTAGTGGATATTCTTGATGCAAAAATCCAGGCACATTGTGGTCTCCAAAAAGCCTTTTATTTTATAGTAGACTACATTGTTTGCAGCCACCTGACTTCTTTTACTCTATATGTTGGGGTTTTTTTCTAAGAGGAATTTCTTACCATGCACATTGTGGTCTCCAAAAAGCCTTTTATTTCATAGTAGACTACATTGTTTGCAGCTAAGATAGGCTGCCAGCCACCTGACTTTTCTTTTACTCAATGTGTTGGGTTTTTTTTATTAAGAGGAATTTCTTACCAGGGAGGGCACTAACACTGTAGTCCTCCAGACCCTTTCATTAGTAAATTACTACATCTACACATCTTTAAATGTCACCTTTTAATTTAGAATAACAATCTGGGAGAAGCACATTTGTTCATGAAGAAATTACAGACATTACAGAAAGAGAGGAGTAATTTTGGTTCAGAAGAATCAAAGACTGAGGATTTGCCTTTCCTTCCTTTTTGCCCTATATTTTTCCAAGCAAATTAATTCCATGGCCCACTGGTGATACAGACTGATGTTCTTTTGGAGAAAAAACAAACAAACAAAACCACACAATAAACATGGTTTGTTTGATGTGTACACACAATGGATCTTCAACTCTCTACAGGCAAAATACAGTCAGCAAGAGGGGAAAATGCCACCTGCACTTCATTTCATCTATAAGCACTGTCTTGACTTAGAGAATCTGCCTGGTTTTTAGACACACTAATCATTCCCCTTCCACGGGACAAGGAACTAAGGAAAACTCCATTGCAAGTTGTAAGGGCTGATCTGTGCCTGCTGAATGTGACCTGGTGGGACAGTGACAACCTTCTGGCATGTTTTTTCATGATGCCCAGTGCTGTATTTCCTAATGGTTCCCTATATCCTACCTTAACATGATGATGTTAACTACTGCTCTGCCATAGCTGATGCAAATGGTGGGATAAGATGTTTTTGATGTTGCATAGAGTACCCTGGAGGTTGTTCTGCCAAGTGTCTATTACTAAAAACAAAGCTTTGGATGTATATTGTGGTGGCTTTTTTAACACCTCTACTTTAAAGTTCATGGCCTTTTAAAGTCTTTTTTCCCATAAACATGCTCAGATGGTAGATGTGATGGCACACTTCAGTCAGAGGGTCTGTTAGAGGGTTCCCATCCACAAGGACCAGCTCCAGCTGCTGAGGACTATCCAAATCCTGAGGCAGCTGGGACAGGTGATTGTTCTGAACCTGAACACACAAAAGCAAACAGCTGCAGCATAAAGAACAAATGATGTGGAGCATTCCTGTGTGCTCCCCATAAACAGCACATGGATGAGACACAAACAATTCAGTCTGTGTGGGTAATGAATATACATCTGGAACATCTCACCAGAGCATTTAAAATTCAGAGGATCTGCTCCCAAATATAGAAGGATGGGACTCAGGCTCTCCTAGCAAAGCATTTAATTCATTAGGTGAAGACTATTCACCTGGTAGCCAGGTGGCCAAATTCAGCTTTCAAAAGTCCTGGTAATTAGCACACCAGCAGTGCTAGTGAATTTAGCCACACAGAGATGCAATGGAGAACTGGGGAAGATGGAAGGACTGGGCTGGGGAGTGCTCCCAGAGAGCTGGTTCCTCACCACCTCTCTGGAGTCACTGGTGTTGACCCAGTTGGTCTTCTCACATGAGAGGATCTGCTTTGAGCTGAGCTCTGGAAACATCTTTTCCCTAAGACCCTGAGGTTGAGGTAGGTCATGGGTGAGGACCTCCTGTCCCCTTGGCTTGGGTACAGCACTTCCCCTCCCTTCCCAGTTCCTAACTTTTATCCTGTATGGCTCCCCTACAATTACAGGATGAGCCCTGAAAGATGGACTGCATTCCTTCCTTCCCTCCTCTTTCTCCTTCTTCCAAAATACTTACTGGTACTCGTGTCCTTAAGGCCACAAACCTTTTCACCTTTCATTTGGCATAGAGTCTGGGAGCTGTTTGAGGAGATTGTTGTAACAGTCAAGTATTGTCAAGTGGACCAGTAGCTGATGGCTGTGGGCAGGTCCTCCAGACAATTATATGCAGTTCCTTCAGATTCTGGAAAATAGATATGCATAACTTCTCATAATTAAAGGATTTTTCCTTCACTTGATATATAATCAATGCACAGATATTATCTGTAAATGCAGATTAAGGTTTATAAACTGAGAGCTTTGGGATGACTACTAAACACAGAGAGACAACATGAGTTTCAAACACCAAGTTTTGATGTTATTCTTATTCTGACAGGCCTGGCCTGATGCTGCACCATGTACCTAAAGAGATTAGGAGAACTTCCAGTCCTGCATTTGGGAGCAGCTGAAGTCCACAGAGGTACCTTGCTGCAGCAGACCAAGATCTTCCTCCTTCTATTGCTCCTGCCTGCAATTTGCTGATGTCTTCTGGCAGACTTGTGAATTTAATTCCTTTATCTTGTCCCAGGTATAATCTCTCTAATGGCTTCAGGGGAAAGATTTCCTTTGGAAAGATATTGAATTGGTTTTCAGACAGGCAAAGGCATTTCAAATTTGTCAGTTCTTACAACTCCCCGGGTATCTAGACACAGTCATTAAAAAGATACATTATGTCAATTAAACAGTAATCTTGGGGATTTTGTTTTTAGGGAAAAATCTCCAAGAAAATGCAATGGAGCTGCATTACTGTTGATGGATGAACACAGAATATTCTGCTCATTAATATAGCATTATACCTCACAGTGTGGTGGAAATTTTGGCAACAAAATCCATGCTGTTTCCTCTGGTGGGAAGATTTCTTACGGGGCTAATTTTGTTTCTTAGCAGAAACATTAGTCTGCTCCTTCATTTCCTTTGTATGCACAGTGCAGGAGAGAGTAATTTAAATGAATGAAATCTGAAAGTGATTCTTTTGCATAAATTACTACTTCTGTAAATGTAACTTTTAAGAAGAAAATTGCACAAGTAAAAATCTCCTTGGAAAATAAGTGTTGCATTATAGAAAAAAGAAAGTGTATTCTGAGCCCTAAAATGAGTACACCCATGAATACTGCTACACTTATAACAATACAGCTTTAATGTTCATAATTGTTCATTATCAAATGAACAGCAAATATTAATGGTGTTAATTAACAATATCCCATCCATTTTTAAATTGCCCTCTGCTGTGTTTCAGTTTGTGACATATTGATTCTGCACAAATGCAGCTCTTTTTTTCCAGTGTACATAGGAAAAAAAAGACACAAAAAGACTGAAGCAGTCCCTCCAGTCAGTATTTCATCTTTACAATTCAACACAAAGGTCGGTGTTTCCACATTCTTGCTTTTTTTCCCTTGCCTGAATACTCAGATGTCAGTGATAATGAGTAACCCAGGCTCAGGTGCGTACCAGGTGGAACATACCTTCTCGCTGTAGTAGGGAAAAGTGCCACTCAGGTGTAATGAAGAACTTAGATTCTGCAAAAAAGAGGTATCAATAAAATAAAAATGAAAACAAAGGAACAAATACCTCCTGTATCTGATTGCCATCCAAGGCCAATATTTCTAAGTTTTTCATAGTGCATATTCCTTTAGGAATCTCATCAAAGCAATTTTCACTCAGATCTGGTATCCTGACACTGGTTAATCTGGTGAAGGAGCTGGGTACTGTGCATGGTTTAATGTTCCTCAGATAAACACAGGGAAGGGATGGCCAGCAGCAGTTGTTGGCCGTCGCAGCCAGGCTGAGTACTCTCATTTCAACGAGATTCTTCAAACTTGAGGGCAGTTTGTGCAGGAGATTAGGAGAGAGATCCAGCACAACCAGCTTCTGGCAGTGTTGCAGTGTAGGAGGAATGGAGGATAAGTTATTAAAAGCTAAAAATAGCTTAACTAAGTTTGTCAAAAAGCCTGCCTCTGCTGGGATGAGACTGATTAGGTTTTGTCCCACATCTCTTATTTCTAAACCAGCAATATGACAGTGCTCCTTGGGAAAACTTTTAAATCTTTTTTTTTTTATGGAGATAAATTTCCTTGAGTTCTGTCAGATTCACTCTTTCTTTAGGCAGACACTTGAGATTATTGTCAGAAAGGCCAAGCAACTCAAAACGATGGAGGCACTCACAGATCTGCACTGGGACTTCGTGCAAGTTTGGTTCATAGAGCCTGAGCTGACGAGGGGACTGCAACTTGCTGATAACTGGCAGCGAACTGGAAGAGAAGAGATTGTTACTCAAACCCTGCAGCACATACAGCAGGACCAGATCTTTGAATCCCAGTGCACCCTGAAGTGCTCCAACAGCCAAGTTCGGAGAGTGACCTTGTGAAGTCAAGAGCAGCTGGATGAAGCAACCTCCTTGAGTCTTCAAGGTCTGTATTTACAAATCCTGACTGAAATCTGTCTTCAGCCACGCTGATTGTAGGAATGGAAGAGTCCTGTTGTTAAAAGGTGGCACCTTCCTCTGTAACACTTACCAGTTTCTGAGACAGAGACATGCTGGTGAATCTGATATTTGATAACCCTTGAAGCTGTACTGTTCCTGATAGTGAAAGAGTGAGAGGTGGGAAGGGAGAACTACCTGAGTGACCTCTGATGTCTGGATGGAAGAAACCTTCCAGCTGGCATTTAAGCAAAGGTAAGAGACAAGGAGGAGGCTGAAAGCCAGCTGTCAGTCCCCTCCCACCTGGCACCCTTTTCTCTGCTCCCGTCACTGTGCCGGGACAATGTCGTGTTTCTAGGTGTCACCGTGACAAGGAAGAAGAACTGAGCAACCACCATGGGGACAGACCCATGCTGGGCTTTCCGGTCTAATTCAGATGTTGCATGAGAGTATTTTATTTTTTACTGGCTCTGAGTTCAGCACTGAGAGAGCAAACTCTGAGAGCAAACCCTACCTGCTGTGGGACAGGAGAGCCTGCGATCCCAGCCCACCCCCTCCGGAGTACAAGGGCAGCAGTGAAGTCAGTAGGATTTCTTTGGTGGAAAGGACCAGCACAGGCACCTTTGAAGTGACTGCTAATCCGTGTAACCATGGCAATGTTTGCAAAGGCTCCTCAGAGACTGCAAGCAGACCACTGAGTAAGTACTCTGGGGCTGAGCTGCTGAAATTCACCTCCCTGCGGTGTCCAGGCTACCTATGCCTGCTACCTCTTGGTGGAACATCCAGGACACCCTCCTTGGAAACGGGCTCCATTACCAATCATTATTAATCTTGGAACAACCTGGCTCAGCCACGGGGCAGAGCTCGCCCGTGGGCTGGTCACCAGGTGAGGAGAGGGTGCAGGCATTGATCACTCAGGCCTGCAGAGCATGGGGAACCAGCTGATTTACAGGGGAAAAAAAAACCTGCCTGTATGAACATTAATTCTCTGTTAGCTCAGATCCTATGTGATGGCAGATCAGAAACACATCCACAAGCCCACATTTTTTCCTCCAGCTTTTCCTGTCTGTCTGTATCTCTTGTTATTCTTGTGTTGCATACCAAGAGCTGTAACCCTTTTCAGACCAAGCCCATTTTTATTGTTCTGCAGAGCCCAGCACAACAGTTCTTGGGTCCATGGTGATGTTGCTAGGCTGCCTTAACAATGCAGTAACACTTAGTTTTGTTTTCCAGCAGGTCATGTCAGTTCGTCCAGACCTTCACCAGCGCTATGTGGCTACCTGCCAAAACTTGGGCCAACCTGAAAACCCCTTCATTGCTCATGTGCTTCAAGAAGCTGATAAAAATGATAAAATGTAAGGAAATAACAAACACTGCGTTTCAGATGCTTCTGAAAGCCTTAAACAAGACAGCAGGACAAGGAACTGAACAATGAGAAAGCTCATGCAGTTTCAGGCTTAAACACAAGTTGTATTTAGCATTTACTACTTAAGTTCTGGTTTGACTCATCTTGACATCATCTTGGCAGGAGTTTGTAGCTATATATCCCTTCCGGGCAGCTTTACAAGCAGTGAAATCAGAAAAAGTGAAAAATGTACAGGATGTTGCCTTAATGTCCCTTAAAGAAGCCAAACCCAGTGTCTAGTCATCCCAAGTGCCTTCCTTTTGTCTCCCTCCTTGTTTAAAAAGCCTCAGCTGTATCCAGTTAGCTTCCAGCTGGTAATGCTTCCCTGAACTGTCCCTGAATCCTGCCAAGGTATTAACCACCCAAATGCTCTCTCACTCTGTGGTTAGGTAAGGCTTCCTCTCATGGATGCTCCTGGGGTCAAAGTTAATTGTCCTTTGGAGAGAAAACCTGAGAAAAAAGAGCATAGTGAACTGGTTTGTGTTAGGTTTTGATCCTGAGGGCAGGATAGAGTAAATAAAGGAAAGGGAACAGCAAATAAAAATGAGATGATGAGGTAACCTCCAGGATAGTCTTTATTTCCATCTGCCTTCCCCTCATCTTGCTTCTTCCTGCTTTCTCTGTGTGTGTGCTAACTGTGGTCTTGCAGCTGTGTGATGCCTTCAGAATATCAAAAAGGACAGTGCTGAGGTATGGCTTGAATCGTGGTGTTCCCAAAGGTAGAGGCAGCAGCTACCCACATGCAAACACATCAGTGAGGGCAAGAGTGGATACACTTCTTTACCTGGAGAGAGAATTCATTTTTCTGTATTGTTTTACTTACATTTTTATGTTAACAGCAGTTGGACAAAAGGGATCACATTAAAAATAGCTGGAAATAATCATCTAGTGCCTGTGCAGAGAGTTACAGGTGATGATCTTCAAGTCCTTGCCTCTGTCTTGTGCAATTCTGTATTTGTCACAGGTAAGATTTTTTTTCTTTTTCATGTATATGTTTGACATTACTGTGCTAATATAAGAAAACATAAGCAGTCTTGATTTCAGCCTTAATTAATCTTTATTTCTTTTTGTTTAGAGCTCAGTTAGGTGTAGATATGCATCTGTCACATTCTTCATCTTTTTCAGGTTTGGATCTTAGGTTTAACGTATTGACTGATGCTGGAGCAAAACACATGGCAACGTTCCTCCAGGTGCCAAAATTATATCTATCATTCAGCAACTTGTAATCTGTTTGGCTGTGATAACATTTATCTGTGGTAAATTGGAGACAAGAATGCATTAGTTTGGCAAAATTCCAGTAATTTTTGATTTATACATCCAAATCCATCCGACTAGAATATCAGGTTGTATTCTCTGGGGAGAGTTTTAGTTTCTGGTAGAAAAGTGTTTTGATATTTGGCTAGTTTCATGAAGAAAAAACAGTGGAATAAACTGTGGGGCTTCTAGGCTTACTGTTCAGCTCAACAAAGGAGGTAATGGTGGTGTTAAGTGTGCCAGGGCCTTTTTTTTCAGATCCTTTATCACCTCTGTTAGTCTTTTTGGAGGGCTAAACAGGAAACTTTTCTTAACCTTTCTTAAAGGCAGGAAACTGCCTTTTTGTCATTGTAAGCACTGGAATACAGATGGAAAACAGTGAATTGCCACTGTGTGCCTGTGTTCCTGGAGCTCAGGGAGTGCCATTAAGTTCACAAAATGCCTAAGGTCTGCATCTGAGCTCCACCACCTGCTCAGCACGCAGGTTCCTAGGTGTTTTCTGTAAGTCCCACGAGAACCTACACATCCCATGTTTTTCTGCCTTTCCCTTATCATCTAATGTCCTTTGGCATTCTTTACCTGAAATCAGAGTCTGCCTGAAAGGCAGCAAAGGACAGAGGTTTTAAGTACATATACGACACATCTTCTTTTTGAAAAAATGCAGGTGTGCTCTGGAAATAAAAGTCTCAATGTTTTGTGCTTTGTTTGTTCCTTAAGGAAAACTCCACTCTGAGGTATCTTAACTTGATGTTTAATGATATTGGCACAAGCGGAGCAGAGCTGATAGCCAGAGCCCTCCATGTGAGTATTCATATAATCATAGAATGGTTAGGATTGGAAGGGACCTTAAAGCTCATCCAGTTCCAACCCCCCTGCCATCAGCAGGGACACCTTCCACTAGACCAGGTTGCTCAAAGCCTCATCCAGCCTGGCCTTCAACACTTCCAGGGAGGAGCAGCCAGAGAGTATTTGTCTGGGAGATTTAGACAATGGCATCTAGTTTGATATTTTTGCTTTTGATGAACAGGACTAGCTGTCCTGCCAACATCAGAGCTGGCTGAAAGGGCCCTCTGTCTTCAGTCCATTCAGCATTTCACTGTATCACAAGGATTGCTTGTTTCCCCAAGGCAGACTTCAGAAATCAGATTTCACACAAGAGAAAGTTACACTGTGCTGCCATTAATAATTATCACAACTATCACAGGTGGGTTTTTCTGTGTGAAAGGATGTATAATGCCATCAGGTTTTTCCTTTTTTTTTTAATTGTATTAAATTTGCCTGTACCTTGATGTCAATATTTGTCTTGATTCAAGATATCTGAGATGTGTTTTCAAAACTTTGCCTTACAGCAGCAGCATAAAAACAAAGTTGTTATTTTTAATGTGGTTTCCCAAGGAAATGAGGCTTGTGTTTAAGATTTGTTGTGTTTGTGAAACGAGACTCACATGAGCTCTTTCTTCCTCCTTCAGAGTCTTTGAACTCTGAACTGATTGCAACTCAATTTGACAGGTCTCCAAATCGCTACGGTTGTACAACACTGGCCTTGCAAGTAACCCCCAAAGCTGTTTGTGCTGCCCCCTGACAGCGCTTGCAGGGTTTGCTGAGCAAGTGGCTGGCAGGACCACTTGGCTGGGTGGGCTCCTCTGCTGGGCAGGGCAGGGGGAGATCTGGGGGTGAAGGGGGTGAGTTACTGGGGGAGGGAGAGGGCAGGAGATGCTGTAGTGAGGTATTGCAGTGGGGAAAGGTGTACTGGGAACATGGGGAAGACATAAAAGCTGTATGAATCCAGGCTTCATAAGTTCTGCTGCTCACATAACTACTTGTTTTGTAATCACTTAATCAAACATAATCTCTGGTAATGAGTGATTATGGTGGTACTGAGGAATTAAAAATACAAAACTGCTTTGTATCAAATTTAGGGCTTTAACAGTGAATAGGTAATCCATATCCACTGAAATTCTGTGGAGGGTGAGGGGAAAGATGCTGAATTTTCTAGACCTCTGATCAGAACTCAGTGAAATCTCCAGCCCAGCAAAGACTTACACACTGGTTTGACCCTGTACCAAGTAGCCCCGCTGAAGGCAACTGGATTCACTGAGCTTTGACCAGTCATGTGATTTAAAAGACTATGAAAAATAAAGCAAATTATATTCTTTTTTAAAATAAGCTTACTAGATTTAAATCAGTTCTGGTATAATTTGCATTTCAGCTGCCTCTTTAGGCAGAAATACCTGCCTGGATTATTTTAATGAATGTGAAATTTGTAAGCTTGGGAGAAACAAAAGTTTTCAAATACTCGAGTTTTGCTTCCAGATTCTCGTGTGTTTGATTCCACTGAGGGGAGCCCGAGCCAACTGCTTACTCGGTGTTATCACTTAGACATGATTTTTCTGGAGGGATGTTTTGTCTTTGTGTGACAACCAGCAGGATTCACAGGAAAAAGGACAGTTGTTTTTCAGGCCACTTAAAAGGAATTGATTTTTAAAATTATTATTATTGTGTCTAGAGGAATGAAACTCTCCTGTATTTGAGAATGACTGGAAACAAAATAGGAAACAAAGGTGGAATGTTCTTTGCTTCAATGCTACAAATTAATTCAACCTTAGAGAAGCTGGATCTTGGAGATTGTGATATGGTGAGTAACTCAGTAAAATGCTCAGCAGTGACATGAGTCTTTCAAGGGTATTACAAAGGTCCTGCAGTGCTTAATTAGGGGAAAATGCCATTTGTTGTCATTGATTTTACATTTTGTGATAGCTGGAGGTAACACAGTATATTTGAGAAGTTGGTCCTTGTGTCTTGCCCTCCAGGAGAATGATCAAGCTAGAAGAGAAATTAAGATGGGCCACTCTCAGCCTTCCTGTTAAGGGTATTCATCTTTTCAGGAGATAATGAAGTGTACGTCAGGCAGAAGGAGCAGGTCGGACTGTAACCTAACAGCTGTGACTGTCACCTGGAGGCAGGGAGAGAGCTGGGGTCAGATGGAAGTTTTATTATATTTGTTTCCTGTAATTACAGAATTTGCTCCTAAACTACAAGGGGGAACACTTCCCAGAAACTCTGAAGAGTGTTATAAAAACATAAACAAGGAAAGTGTAGCCCATGTAGGATTTATTTGAAAGTATAATATGTTTATGCTTGGTAGGGAGTTGATAGAAAACTGATTTAAAATGAAATAGCTTTGCATGTAGACCAGCTTAATTGGAAAATAACATAAATATAAATTAGTGAGCAAACAAGAAGGAAATAAAAAATCTGAACTGGTCTGTATTCTAGACTCACTACTGTGTACCAGATTAATTCACATCTAGTATTAATTTACTTAGTGGATAAATGTTACCAAAGACTTTTACCAAGACCTTAGGGAACACACACAAGCTGATTTCATACATAAGGAAAACCAAAATACAGGATCAATTAAATGGACAAGTATCTTTGAGATGTATTATTCTTGCTTTTTATTTTCTGAGTTGCCAAATTTCCTGGTCATTTCTTAGTCTAATTCCACTGTTATTCCACAGGGAGTTGGCATTGGTATCAGAAAATACATTATGTGTCTGTAAGCACTTGCCTCCTGCACTTGTACATGGAGGCAAAAATAATTGTATTTCCAGTCTGAGCCCATTTGATGTTTTTGATCTTCTGACAATCAGCTCTAAGAAGTCATGGTAATTTGGTAGCTTGATCTATATGTTGGACAGAGTTCTCTAAACAGTTTATTTATTTTCATTTCCAGGCTACGCAGTGTCTAATAGCGATAGTAACAGCCCTGACTCAGAACAAATCAGTCAAAGCAATAAACCTCAATCGCCCTTTACTGTACAGCCAAGAGGTACGTAAGCAGACTGCAGTGTCAGTAAAGTCAGTACTGATGTGTTTATGGACAGCTGAACTACACAGCTCTCTGGGTTTCCTTACACAGTGAAGTAAATGGTTGCAGAAATACTCAGTTTCTCTTTCTGTGACAAGTTTTGTGCAGTCAGAGGCTGCTCCTGTTTAACCACAGGGTTAATTAAAAAATAATTAAAAAATCTTTCTTGGTAGATTTGTTAAGGAATTTGTTAAGGAATTTGTTAAGGAATTTGTTAAGGAATTTGTTAAGGAATTTGTTAAGGAATTTGTTAAGGAATTTGTTAAGGAATTTGTTAAGGAATTTGTTAAGGAATTTGTTAAGGAATTTGTTAAGGAATTTGTTAAGGAATATTTGTTAAGGAATTTGTTAAGGAATTTGTTGGGCAAATGGAGAGGGCTTGGCATTGGGGAACCAAGTAATCCTTGGGCTGTTACAGCATGGAGAGTTTTATGTGTCATTCAGCAAACTGAGGGAGAAATGCTGTTTAGCAGGAAACGGGAGGTAGAACAAACGACTGCTGTTTATCTGAGCAGTGTGATACGTGGGTGACTCTCAGAGCCCGCAGCCTAAAGAATAAAGGTAAACTTCAATGATATGCCGTATCCACTGGGCTGTGTGGATTTGTTGTGTCACTACGTGAACCATAATGAATGGAGCATGAATTTAACAACTGAATGAATCCCATCAATGTCTAAACCTATGGTGCATGTATCACAGAATCACAGAATGTCAGGGATTGGAAGGGACCTCAAAAGATCATCCAGTCCAATCCCCCTGCTGGAGCAGGAACCTAAATGAGATCACACAGGAAGGCATCCAGGTGGGCCTTGAATGTCTCCAGAGAAGGAGACTCCACACCCTCCCTGGGCAGCCTGTCCCAGGGCTCTGTCACCCTCACTGTAAAGAAGTTTCTTCTCAAGTTTAAGCAGAACCTCCTGTGTTCCAGCTCACACCCATTGCCCCTTGTCCTACCATTGGGCATCACTGAGAAGAGCCTGGCTCCATCCTCCTGACATTCGCCCTTAACATATTTATGACACCCAGCTCCCTCAGCCTTTCCTCATCAGGGAGATGCTCCACTCCCTTCATCATCTTGGTGGCTCTGTGCTGGACTCTCTCCAGCAGTTCCCTGTCCTTCTTGAACTGTGGGGCCCAGAACTGGACACAATATTCCAGATGTGGCCTCACCAGGGCAGAGTAGAGGGGGAGGAGAAATCAGCTGAAACAAAGACACAAACCCTCCGGGACAATCGAACACCAAAAGAGAATCTGCAAGGCAGTGTTAGCTGGTGTGTGCAGGCGCACAGAGCTGCGGGGCTTTCACTCACAGACACGCAGCTTCTGAGCATCACTGGTTGTGGTGGTGGTGGTGGTTTCACCAGGCTGGCAGCAGTTGTCAGATATCTGTCTGCAGTAGGTGCAGTATTTTCCTGATGGCAGGATAACAAAATGAAACTGTCCCAAAGGCCAGATCTTCCTAAATCCCCAAAGGTGAATTTAACAGTTTAAACAGATTTCAGTCATTCCTCTTCTACTGAGACAGGGCTTGGTCTGCCTAAACCCAGTGTTAGAAGTCAATTTAAACCATTGCTATGGAAAATACAGGCCACTAAGTGGCCCGTGTCTGCGGGAGACTCTCTTTGCCATTGTTCCCACCTTCAACTCTGTCATTTTCTGAGGCCTCTGGGTTGTCACCTTATTTTTGACTCTCTGTATTCACTCAGTTATTTTCTTAACTAAATGTGACAACTTCAAAATGAACTTACTGTGTGTTACAGTGACAGGACATAATTTTTCCCATAGCAATCCTGTTTCTTTTTATGAAATAATGAATAGCATCATGACAAAATACTTTTAATGTTAGTGAAGACTGACTCAAACATTCATTTTTTTTAAGAGCAATGACTGGGAAGAAAACTGATTAGAAATAATAATTCAAACATTAATGCTTTTGATATTTGCAGGGATATATAGAGTACTGTAAATCTGCAAATAGCTTTTTGGTATTTTTAATTTTATGTCTTTATTATTTGCAGTGCAATCATAATATATAATTCCCTGGCTATTTTTAATACAATATACAAAAAAAAGACACTATTGATGACCAAATCTTGCTAAAAGGGAGTTGTGCATCTCCCTTTTACTGAAGCAAGACCTTATCTTATCCTAAACTACAGCATGATAAAACTGAGTGTATGTTTTTAGGAAGACACCACGGTTCACGTAGCTCTGATGCTGAAAAATAACTTTTCTCTTGTGGAACTACACCTGTGCAAACATGAAATGAAAAACTTTGGTGTAGAGCGACTGTGTGAGGCATTGTATGAAAACTCCAGCCTGAAGTACCTTGATCTTAGCTGGTAAGAGTTATTCTGTGACCTACCCCTCACGTTAGATATTTATTTTCTTAGCAGCCTTTTTTAAAAAAAAAAGTGTGCATCTCTTTTTCAGTAATAAAATAAGCCGTGATGGAGTGAAATTTTTGGGAGAACTCCTAAAACGGAACCAGACTCTGGAAATCCTAGATCTTGGTGCAAACCGAGCAGAAGACGATGGAGCCATCTACCTGAGCGAAGCCTTGGCTCTGCACAACAGGACTCTTCGGGCGTTAGTATTTGTGTAACTGCCCCAGACACTGCAGGTGTTACAACTCGGAGTGTAACAAGCTCAGATTTTGCAGTGGCTGAACTGATATCTAAGCCACGTGCTTTAATGTTACTGATCCAAATCAAAAAGTCAGAAATTTCCAAACTTTTTAGTCCAGTTTTCTTTCTCAGGAAGAAAAAAAAAAATTAAAACTAATTTAAAAAAGACAGATTGGGTGGGATTGCCTGGGCACTTCCTGCTACTAATTTAAAAAAGACAGATTGGGTGGGATTCCTTTGCCTGAGCATGGGCACCTCCTGCCGTGTGAGGTGCCCCAAGACCTGTGAGACATCCTAGGGTGCTGGCTACAGGGAACTTAATTCAGTTTTACCCAAACACAGGCTCCCTGTAGCTTCACATGAGTTAAAGGAGTAACACCCCAGGCCAAGACATTCCTTCGGTCCCATGTGCTAATGCCTCGTGTTCACCTTCCCACACTGCCAGGTCTACACATAACTCATTTAATCCCCTTCTCCTTGTACTTCCTTTTTATTTTCATCTTGTATCCATGGCTGTGTGGCCTGACATACGCTTGTTCTTCTGTTTCAGGGTTTGTGGGGGTTGATGCTTAAATCAATTTTGTAGTGGTTCATCTTATACGTGATTCACAGCTTTTGCCCTCATTCTAGAGGGGTGTGGGGTGTGGGAAGGCAATTAGATCTTGTTAGTGCTTTTTGCATCTTTAAAGTGCAGGTCTCTGTGGCCCACAAACGAAAACAAACCAAGAGCTGTAGGTATTGAGAATTTTCAGATAATCAGATTCCACGTGAGGATAAGGCACTGTAGTTGTTGATTCTGATCTTCAATCCTCTGTTTAAGTTAGCTTCTGGGTGAATCTGCAAGTGCTGTAATCTCTCTCTAAAATCAGGGTGTATTTTGTAGCCTGCATTAAACCCTGCGCCGGCAGGATGTAAAAGCTGATCAAAGGTGTTACCTGAAGCCATTATTTTTAAGTAGCAGACTGAGGAGGTGGCAGCTGCTAGGTGCCTCTGAAAGCCTTCCAGGTTCACTAATATAAAAATAACTGCCACTCTACAAAGATCAAAGCTTAGCCTGGGTAAGTGCCAAAGCTTGGGCTTCAAAGCAGACTTAGAGATGAGACCTGGCCACCACCACGCAGGAAAGTCACTGAAGAGCTCAAGAGTGAACAACCTGGCTGCATGATACATGGAAATGCCTTGAGAAATACAAGAAATAGAAGTATTCCAAACTGCCTTTAGCAACCTAAAAAAGATTTTTATAATAAGGCTGGCCTTGATATAAATAATTACATTATTAATAACAAATATAACTTTGCAATATACAGATATGATATATAATAATATATAATGATAAAATATAAAATAAGAATAAATCATAATTAAACTCTTAGTTTTAACTGAGATGTGAATTCTGTGGTTTGGCACACATTAGTGTAACTATTCTCTCTGTTTATTAGGCTGTCAGTAGTAAGCAACAATATAAGTGGCAAAGGACTTGTAGCTCTTTCAGATGCAATGAAAACAAACATGGAACTTTCCTATATTTACATCTGGGGAAACAAATTTGATGAAGCCACCTGTATGGTAAGTGTTTGCTCCTGAACTCTTCTAAGAGGGTTGGGGTTTGTTTGATCTAATTTGTTTTTACAGTTATTAGGAAGACTACAGCAATCTGTGAACAAGACACTTGATTTACTCTGTGGTTTTGGGTTGTTTTTTATGAAAAAAATAATTATATAGTGGTGCTGTAATGAGACTCACTGGACATCAGCATTCTGAAATCATCCCTTGCCTATGGTGTGTTATCTTCTAGAGCCTTCACTGCAGTCACAGTGGAATATGATACATCAGGTTCTTGTTCTTATTCATTTCAGGCATTCTCAGAATTAATTCAGACAGGTCGCTTGAAACCTAATTGTACAGACGTGGAACCGTATGAAGTGGATGGGCACGTTCACCTTGCAGAGCTCTCCCATGGCCTCCGGAAGCATTACTACTGGACACCAAGTTATGGGGAGGTGACAAACAAAGATGCTAATGCCAGTCTGGCCATCGCAGCTGTTTCAGAACACTTGTGAGTGAGGCAGCAGCTTGATGCTCTCCATGTGCTTCAGCTTTTCCTGTCTGTCTAGTAAAAGAGATCATAGCAATATCAGACTTGCTGCATGTTGTTTCTTCAGTCTTTAGTCTATTAGTCTAGGAGGAATATAAAAACACTTCTAGTGGCATTAGAGATAAAATATTGAACTAGTGACCTTAAAATTTGTTGTTAAAAATGCCCGAGCTATTAAAAGCCTATTAATATGCAAATGCATTAATTTTGCTGCGGTTGTTTCTATTGCACGCTCTCTCCTTTGCCTTACCATGATTAGTTGGAGTTCCAGGGTTCCCAGGTGAATTTAATGTAATAACATGCTCAGAGGAAAACATTTTCACCACAGCATAGTGCACTAAGATGACACTAGGGATTCTCAGCAGTAACGGGGAGTAAAACAGTCACTGACCAGAGGCAGTTGAAGGGTCCAGGCTGCAGAAGTGCAGATGCATGAATTGACCTCCTAGCAACTGAACTCCTCTGCTCCATTTAAGGAGACTTGCTCAGATCAGGATTCTTATCAACTGCTTCTTATTTAAAAAAAGATGCAGGGGCTGGATCAGAGCAGCAGCCAAGCCTATGGATGGAGTATCATGACCACAGGGTCCTCTTCCACATGGCAGCTGCAGAGGAAGAGCTGTTGTTGCCCTTCCTGGGCTGTGGTCTCTGCAGTCAGGTTTCCATGTAGCAGGGAGAACCCACAGGGAATGATGTTGTGCCTCTGAAGCTGGAGTACAGCCAGGCAGATTGAACTGCCAAAAACTTACACCCAGGACTGCTGCTGGGCAGCAGCTTCGCATGACAGCAAAGCAGATATGCTGTAGGAAGCTGAGAGAGGTTTAGGTCACCACATTTGTTCCTACTGTGCTCTATATACCTTCTCCTTTTCCTTAGTAATGCCATGCTTTTATTCTTTATCCCAGTGACTTCTTTTTTAAACCAAGTTAAATGAACTTAAGCATTAAGCCACTATAATGCTGCAACTTTAAAGCTAGTGAATGTAGTTTACTGGCATATAAATGGTATTTTGATTAACTTGCAGCATGTACTTGTTTCTTGTACTACAGATAAAAACCACCACCAAACTTGGTTTCATTACTTCTTCCTGTCTCTTGAAAACTGTTTAAAAAGCTTTATATCATTATAGCCATGTGGCAACTCCTACACGTGAATAAGACAACATATGCATATAACGGTGGTTAAAAATTGGTTAAGGGTTTGGATACAGACTTCTGGGAAGTTTGTGAATCACTCAAGCTTGTTTCCTTTGTACACCCACTCTGCTTGTACCTGTAGCAGTGACTAGATCTATGCCTCTGAACAGAGGAAGTCACCAAACAGAACAGCAGAGACTTGCTCAAAGGTTTTCACTGGTGCAATCTGCTGCACGTGTAAATGTTAAAAATTTAGTATAGAATAAGGAACAGACTATCCATGATTGCATGTGCACGCAAGCAAAAGACCTACGAGATCAAAGTATGAGGAGAAAAAGGTAAAGTAATTTGAACAAAAATAGCCTACGAGATCAAAGTATGAGGAGAAAAAGGTAAGAAAGTAATTTGAACAAAAATAGCTAAGAAGCAGTGATGTAACTGCTGATGTTCTGAGTTTGTATGACAGTGGTAGTGTAGAAAGAGGGAGATGTATGGACACTCCTTACCTGAAATGACCAAAGTAATACTGACAGCTCTTGTTAAGTGTTGGGTTTGGGTTGTTTTCTTTTTTCCCTCTCCCCTAAACACAAATTAGTCAGGCTCTGTTGGTCCAAAAAGCATAGGAGGCAAGCCCATGGAGCAGGTCTGTTTGTTCTACTACACACAAGTTGACATGAAGGTCTCTCTCGGCCCTCTGAACCTTCTTACTTGCTAGAGACAGTGTTTAAGACCTGATCAAGTTTTTTTTTTTCACCCTCCAGACCAGGAGACCAGAAATGATCTATCTCTGTGGTCTGCATAGGGATATCTTAACCTGCAGTCATCTTGTTAAGCACAAAGTCCACAGGTCGCACTGTAAGAACACTATTCTAGAGAGGAGCTTATATTTTAACTACTGATGAACAGGAAGATCAGAGCAATGAGAACAAAAGCTGAGGATACACTGAACATGACTGTTTGAGAAGAATCTGTATGCTATGAAAATTTGTAAGTCTTATCTAATTTAAAAAATTAGATAAGCCTGTATTATCAAAGTTGGTATACTTCTCTGAAGCATTGCAGGTTATACTCTGGGGTACTCTCAGTACTGAGACATCAATTACAGACTTTCTTGCCAGAAAGACCACTACAAGATTCAGATCCAGGTATATTTTTTCCATACAGCTTTCTTTCCTTTGTCCTAAATACGATGTTCAGACTAATTTTATTGCCCAAATTAAATCTTAATTTATTTATGTGAATGACACTTGTTCATCTGCTGTAGTAACAGGGAACCAAATCTACCCAGTCAGTCCCAACTCTACCAACAGCAGTATTTTATTTTTAGTAGATGTGGTAAGATGGCAACAATATCACACACAAAATATCACAGGATAAATGGCATCTACTTTCAGAATAGCTAGTGGATGTTTCTGAAATATTTGTTCTCTAGTTGAACCCTTGTTTAACAGCAAGATGCTCGGCCCATAAAAGTTCTATGCATTATTGACATTATCCCTAAAACTAGCTCCATGTGTTCTATTTACTTTGATATTCCTTTGTAAGAAAGGGCTGTGGAGTAATTCCTACTGAATTTTGTATAAACAGCTTCCTGCAAACTAAAATCATTTGTGCAAACCCTGCATTGCTGAAAAGAAGCCTGTGACAGAACCATTTATTGCTTTCCTGCCTCTGAAAACCAAACCTTGAAATTCTTAAGGTTGTGTTCTTTGGAATGAGAGAATTTACACAGGCTCTAAATTTTTGCCATAGTCTTTTTAAGTTATTCTAGTAACTAAAGGAAGCATAATCCTGCTCTGAAAACCATTGTTTCAGCTTCCAGAACTTGCAGGACCTTGCTGAAAGGCAGGAATTTTGCCTCAATTTAAAAGGAAGGAAAATGACTGATCCAGCAGGTCAGTGGTACAACGTGGGTCTCCTAAGAACTACTCTGTGCTCTAGCTACCATCCTAACTTCTCTGAAATTCAGCAATTTAGGAAATATAAATCAATACAAATCCTGATAAAGAAATTAGCTGAATATCTGCTTTAGTGTAAGAAGTACATTTTCAAAGCGTTCTGTAAGAAAACAATAAAACCCCAAAACAAACACCCCCCTCCCAAAACAAGTGGAAAAACATTAACCCAAGAGTCATTATACTAGACTGTATTTAGAATAAAATTGTTTAATTCAGTTTGAACAGACCCAGAATATCTTTTATGAGAAAAATCAGGCGTGTTTACTGCTGAGCAGAAAAAGCAGCAATCCCTGCTGTGTGAGTTCGCTGCACCCAGGGCAGCACACTACCGTGTGTCCTTCTGCCAGGGTGCTCGTGTTGGATGCCTTCCCTCCTCCTTTTGTTGCTGCCCATCACAGTTATAAACAGAAGACACAAGGTGAGGGAAAATTACAAAACAAGTTTATTAAAGTCTAACATAAACCACTTCAGGCTAAATATGTACAAATCCCTCCCTTCTCAGGGGATTATAAAATTGAGAGTTGAGGTATATACAAGTAACAGAGGAAAAAAATTGTATATACATGAAAGATAGTTTAAAAATAATTTAACCAAAAAAAATCAGTTATTAGTCCTGATCTGAACTTAATTCTGCAAGGCTTATCGATGGCCTCTCCAAGGTCACAGCCCTGAAATCCTTAACACAGGACTTGTCCCTACTTGAAAAGTTTTTTGAAACATGATTTCAGAAGAGTTGTCACGCTCTGTGCCCACAGCCAGGCCCACATTTGGATGTAAGTGTCATACAAAGCTTTTCTCACCTAAATATTTCCAAACAGCCCATTCAGAAATTTCTAGTTGCAGAATAACCAATTCAGGCAAAACTTGCACCGACTTCAGTGCAAAATTGACTGAAATGGTACAGAAACAACCATGTGACAAATCATGTTGTTTTCTCTAAATTACTGTTAATGGAACTATTAAAATTCTCTCTTTCATTTTGCAGGTAGGTCTCAAGAAGGAGATGTCTGCTTAAAAATATTCCATGCTTTTCCACATGAATCCCTTACAGAAATTATCAATACTGTCATAAACCTTGTAGCTCCAAAATGAACTCAGAATCCTTAAGCCGAGGAATTCCATGTGCAGCTGATTTCCATGCATCTATTGGCAAAAGGTACAGTGTAGCACCTAGCCTGAACACACCTAAATATTTTTATATATATATA